GCGAGATGATATTGAACTACAATTAACGGTTACATGAAAAAAAACAATAAAAGAAATACGTATATGAAACATAAAAATAATTATGGCTCATCGACTCATTTGATATCTATGTCTTAAATTTGATGATCGCTATAATGGTTTCGAAAGAGGTTAATATTATGTTTATGTGATTAGACAACCTACATTACGTGATATATTTAGTTTGGTAATATATTTTCACAAGCAGCTTACTATACGTATTTATAAGTAAACCTTTCTAATTTCAAAATATGAGAACCCATTTTAAGTTGAGTCTCGTCTAGAGTGTTATATTTCGTGATTTACATTGTATTATTCTTCTGTCTTATATTACATTTCTTTTTCAATGTATGTGCAGACCATTGTCTTTTTATTGGTTTGATTTTGCTCAACTTCTGTTAACTTGGATTTTGTGTCCTATGCATTCGATTCTCTTACGACCTTTTTCTATATTCCTACCATACTTCGGTGATAATTTTCTATAACATTTATTTTCGGTTTTCAAAAGTTTTAGCATACGTAAATGTAACATACGTCGAGCTTGCACTTGAGATATACTCTGTTAATTTTGACGAGGCCATTGAAATAAATAAATACACTCACTCTTCACATGATTAGTAAATTGTTCAGAATCCTCAAACTAAACGTTCATCTTTTGCAATCCAAGAAAATGGAAATTTGGAAATCCAAGATCTAATCCTAGCTAATCCTGGAAATCTAAGAACTTATACATTGTTGTGATAGGTCCAAGAATAGGATAAATTATCAAATCAATAACTAACTACATATGTCAACTTATTTTCACTTATGTAAAATGGAAACTATAACGTCTGTAATATTCTAAATTCAATATAGAAATAGTGGTCAAATTCAAATATATATATCGCTGCCCTGATTAGCAAACTTCTTAACTCCACTTTTAAACTCTTGAAAAACTCTTAACTCCATGAAGAATATTCTTGTTATTAAAAAATGTTTCTTTTTCTTTAAAAACGTTAGAACTGGATAAAAAATATAAATTTATGATATTTTAAAGAAAATTTAGGATTATATAAATTTATACAACAGTTTTTATGAGATCCTGAAAAGTTGGGTGTTTTGGAGTTAAGAGATTTGCTTATTAGGGTACCGATATAGGAAGTCCAATCCATATATGTGTAAGTGCAACAAAGACACACCTCTATATATCCTATCTTTATCTCCTAGTGGCACTTTTTATTGTGACAGGTAGCCTCTTGGAAACGAATAACGCATAGATGTGCATATTTTGTTCGTATGCTATGAAATGTACTCTTTTATGTTCAACATCCAGTATATGGCGTGATATTTCGGTGTGTTTCCATGAAGTTCATTCGATTAATATCGCCGAAAAGCGATCCGAATTTAATGAATTTTTTCGTAATTACTAGTAATAACCCCATTTTTTCTGTTGGCTTTCATGTCGAACTGTCAAATTGTATAGGTTGGACGCGTGTTTCGTTGACAGTCGCACCTTCTCCTTGGTAAGATACTGTTAACGAGGTTTTTTGTTGCGCTCACATTTGAATATCCGGTTTTCTAATAGCACAAGGCGGCATTCTTATAATGTTATTTTTTACAGGGTGTTCAGAGGATCACGACGTTGGTCACATGGAGCTGTAACGGGAATTTGGTAAGACTAAGTTATTTATTAATGTTTGATAGAGTTCGCTATGATAATTATTTAGGTGTGGTGCTCTGACGTGTAACGACGGTTCTTGAGGAACACCGTCGGTGTTCCAGAAGAACCGAAGTAGTGTTGGTTTTCAAAAATTGAAGCCTACAAATTTTCTGTCAGAAATACAGCACTAATTAGCCTTTAGCCATAATTACAACGAATAAAAAAGGTGTTGGTACTATATAGTCCGAAAATTTTCAAATTCGTCTTAGTTATTTATACTAACGGAGTACTTTTTGACAATTATCGAAGGATAGGGGGCCGTTCAAGTCTTTGATCTGCTCATTGCTGATGACATTCTGAACCTATTGTTATATTACAAGAATTATAACTGCTTCTCATGATAAAAAAAGAATTGAAAGTCAAAAATGCAAAAAATACATTAAAAGAAAAATTCATATACCAATTTTTACGTGGGCATGAAAGGTAAAGACAAGAGGATGAATAATCGTCATAAATCTGCTTTCGTGAGCAGAAGGACTTGAAGGTCGCTTAACAAAGAGATAATAACGCCATAAATCATGCTTGCTAAGTATTTTATAATAATAATAATATATCACGTGTACCACGAATGTCCCTCACCATGTGAAATTGTCTGAAATGTTTAATATTTCTGAGGTAAACACTTGATCTTTTGCTTTACACTTTATTGACTACATAGCATGACGCGTTTCGTCGTTACAAACGACTTCTTCAGGTGCTAACACGGATGAAAGAGAAACAATTCGAGTGAATTTTAATTTATATTCAATTATAATGGATTTACATCAAGTAATCGCCAACACTATTAAATAAATAAATAAGAAAAAAGTAATTTTTTTTCTCCTCTTTTCAAATATAGTTGTATATATTATTGTGAATATAAACTCAACCAATATTTTTGTTCGAGGGCTGAATGGAAGATCAAAACTGAATTCAGTCTTTTTGTGAGCATTCTTTCTAGTTGTAATTATTGTATCAATTGAATGAATGTAATTTCACAATGTAGGGAATGTTTGCAATAAATTTTATTATTTTTATTTTATTATATTAACACGTATTCATGTCGCATAGATCTTGCATGACTAACCTTGTAACGTTCTCACAATTTGTGTTAAAGAATCTTGATGTAAGGAGTCGGGTAGATGTTGTACTCGTAAAGGGTGTTTTTTTAGAGGTATAGAACTTTAATCTGCAATAAAACAACGATGGATCATTGGATTCATTCATCAAAAGAAATTTTTTTCATTCGAAAGATAATCTTGTGGCATTACATTTTAAATATGATTTCTGGCATATGACCGCCATGGCTGGCTCGGATGTAGTCCAATCTGGACGTCCAATTTTCGATGACTTTTTCCAACATTTGTGGCCGTATATCGGCAATAACACGGCGAATATTGTCTTCCAAATGGTCAAGCCTTTGTGGCTTATTCGCATAAACCAATGACTTTACATAGCCCCACAGAAAGTAGTCTAGCGGTGTTAAATCACAATATCTTGGAGGCCAATTCACAGGTCGAAAACGTTATATACCGATTTAATGAAGCATTTGATGAAATCAATCATAAAGTTATGTTGTACAAACTGAAAGCCAAGTCAGGTTTCTCCAAAGATCTAGTTTCCCTAATTCAGTCTTATTTAAATAATCGAACACAGTTTGTACCATTTGAGGGTCATAAATCATATGTATATACAGCCATTTCGGGTGTACCACAAGGCTCTAATTTAGGCCTACTGTTGTTTCTGATTTTTGTAAATGATCTAATAGACTGTGTAGAAGTTTATACTCTCATGCATGCTGATGTTTTAAAAATATGTCGCAAAATTAAAACATATGAGGAATGCATAAGCTCACATTCACTAAAAAGAAACGGCCTATACAATTTGTATAAATAAAAATAAAACAATTTCAACAGCATTCAAATTTCACGGGTTTATTGTGAATTAGGTTTCGGATGTATGAATTGGCGTCTTCCATTTACAATTTTCACAAAAATAATTCCGAGTCGATACAACGAAAATTTAATATCGCCCATTAGATAAACGAGTATGTGTTCGCTATTCGAGGATGTGTCTGACAAATGCGATATCAACAATGACACATTTGCTGTCATAAGTCGGGTTTAATTGGAATCTTTTCATGTATAGTGAATTTTTAAGTATGGCTATATTTTCATTGTCTATTATTCATTATAATTACTTCCTTTATTGATAATCATGTTTTAAACGTTATGTCATTAATTAATATGTTAATTATATCGTTTAATACATTATATCATTAGGTGTTAATAGTGTATATATATATATATATATATATATATATATATATATATATATATATATATATATATATATATATATCCAAATATTACCTGTGACTGGGTGTTTTTATTTCATAAGTTATTATTCATATTTAATTTTTTTCATTAATTTTTCATTTCATATGTTATTTGTATTTCACAATTAACGCTTGTTTATATAAAAATTATTTAATACAAAATTCCTCAAATAAAAATATGATGTCATAATCTCACAAAGAACGAAGTCTGTAAAGCCTTTCAAAAATGTTTGTTACTAATAATAATAGTTTCTTATTATATGAAAAATTCATAAAAAAGACTATCGACCTTAGGATCTTCAGTCTAATTGTACTAGTTAATACTATAAATATTAATATAGCTTTATAATACAAATGCAGAAGCGAAAAATACAATTAAATACATGATGTCATAATCCAGTAATAATATATTCACATAAACTAAACCTAAGTGTTAGAATCATATCTAGAAAATTTCGGTATCGTATTTGTTGAATTAAACGACGAACAGCTGCTTCACCACGCAAACGAGCTGATGAAATCTAATGAAGTCGAAACAGATGTCCGCTACAGCTGCCGATTACCGATTTGGGACCGTTTGCCCTATCTCTATTATACGGTTTTTGTGGGGCGGCTACGTGCAAAATTTCCATTGTTGCATCTTGAACGGTCGTTTATTCTTCCATTAAAGCTAATTCTCGATTATTAGATATTATTTCGACGACATTGAACGGAGTAGGCAAGGTCGTTTGAGATACGTCAAGCGTACCTTATGTATAAATAAAGATTATCTAAGATAATATACTGCAACAATAGTTTGTGTATAGAAGTTTGTCAAACGGACCAGTTTATGACCAATAAACTGGTTTAGACCAGACAGCAGAAACATTCGCAGAGATAGGAATTCAGTTATTTATTTATTTATTTGTTTTTTCAATGAATGTTATACAATATTGAACTTTAAACACTTAAATAACATGTACGCCGGTCTTCGTGGCTTAGTCGGGAGAATACTCGACAGTGGTGCAGTAGAACTTGGGTTCGAGCCCCGTTGAAGGCACGGATGTTTGTGTTTGTCTATAATTTGGGAAGTTTAAATAATGATATATACTAGGTAATGTAGATTGATTACAAGCTCATTGGCCGTTCGGAACCGGCGTTAAACTGAATTTAAAAAAATTCTCAGGACCCTATTTTGAATTATTTAATGTAAGCGTTCAACTTAATTTTTTTATTATCTATCTATCTACATAGCGGACCTAAAACTAATGGGTGTTTTTTAGAGGTATAGAACTTTAAATTGTAATAAAACAACGATGGATCGATCATTTGATTGACAAGAATTTTTTTTTATTCGAAAGATAATCTTGTGGCATTACAGTTAAAATATTATTTCTGGCATATGACCGCCACGGCTGGCTCGGATGTAGTCCAATCTGGACGTCCAATTTTCGATGACTTTTTCCAACATTTGTGGCCGTATATCGGCAATAACACGGCGAATATTGTCTTCCAAATGGTCAAGCGTTTGTGGCTTATCCGCATAGACCAATGACTTTACATAGCCCCACAGAAAGTAATCTAGCGGTGTTAAAATCACAAGGGTCCAAAGCGTGAAATTAGGCGGTCATCAAACGCGTCTTTCAATAAATCGATTGTGGCACGGGCTGTGTGACATGTTGCGCCGTCTTGTTGAAACCACAGCTCCTGGACATCATGGTTGTTCAATTCAGGAATGAAATTGTTAGTAATCAAGGCTCTATACCGATTCCTATTGACTGTAACGTTCTGGCCATCATCGTTTTTGAAGAAGTACGGACCAATGATTCCACCAGCCCATAAAGCGCACCAAACAGTCAGTTTTTCTGGATGAAACGGTGTTTTGACATACACTTGAAGAAAATCTTCAATCCAAATGCGGCAGTTTTGTTTGTTGACGTAGCCATTCAACCAGAAGTGCGCTTCATTGCTAAACAAAATTCGCTTATGAAAATCGGGAACAACGGCAATCTCGTTTTGGGTCCATTTGACGAATCTACGCCTTGCTTGATGATCGTTTGGTTTCAATTCTTGCACGAATTGAATTTTGTAAGCACGCAAACCAAGATCCTTCCGCAAAATCTTCCGTAAAATGGATGGACACAGATCCAATTCCTGTGCTCGATGGTGGATGGACTCATTCGGGTCTTCCTCAATGCTACGCTCTACAGTAGCAATAGCTTCTTCTGTACGCACCTACGTACAGCGTCTCTGAGGATGCGAGTTATCAATTAGAGTAAACGTGGTGCGAAAACGTTCCATGGTTAATCGAATTAACTGCTCTGATGGACGATTTTGTCGACGATAAAATGGACGTAGTGCACGATACGTATTCCGCACAGAACCATTATTTTCGAAATGAAATTGCATTATTTGCAAGCGTTGTTCAGGCGTGAGTATATTCTTGATGAATTGCCAAACCAAACTGAGAATAAATCACTCCTCATCTGTTAAATCGGTCGCCATCTTCAACAGTAATGTCAACTTAAAGTTCTATACCTCTAAAAAAAAACACCCTTTACAAAATTGAAACTACCAATTGCGAGAGAAGATTGGTTCTGTGGGTTTTTCAGTAAAATGTCTGGCTTGTTCTAGTACACCTCTGAGGAACGATGAAATTGAGTTTTCCCAGAAGCTCAGGACACTCGAGATTTTTGAGCAAATTGAATGAAAATTTCAATGCGTTCAAACTTCTGCTGCTGTGGAGGGTCCTAGTATAAACCATGACAGCAAACAAGCGTGGTCGCAACCTCTAGCTGGATATACATCGTTCTCTCTAAATGATTGCCATTTGAAGAACTTCCTCTGCAGTGCCTCCAGGCGGCTTATGTGACAATTATTTATTGGTCGCCAAACGAGGCTGCCATATTCAAGTTTGCTTCTCACTTGGGCATTAAATAAATGGATCAGCGTTGAGGAATTCGAAAACAAGCTAGCATTGCGGACGATGAAACCATAAACTTTGCTACATGATAAAATTAATTGGTTCATATGAGGTATGAATGAGAATTTTTGGTCAAATACTAGGCCGAGATCCTTAACCTCCAGAAGTCGAGTCAGATTAACACCTTCAATGTTGGAATGAAAAGTTATCACGTTTCTCTTTCTAGTAAAACTCACCACATTACATTTCATGACAATTCAAGTGTATAATAAAGTGTATAAAATTTCAAGTGTAAACAATTATTATTACACCACAGGCTGATATCATTCAGTTCACTTTGTAGCCTCAAACAATCATTCATAGATGACACGCTCTTATAAATTTTAATATCGTCCGCATAAACCACCTTCATGCAGTCAACTAAAGATGCAATCAATCGATTTGTCCTTTTAGCAAACAGGACAAATAGTAGGGGTCGAAGATTGGATCCCTGATGCACTCCCGAAGTTACTAGAAATTCTCTCAATTTGTACGAACTTACTGCGATAGATTTGGTTTTTGTCTTTAGGCCTTAAATATTAGATTCTCTCTGGTCTTATTGCATATCAATAAAAAAAGTAATTATACTTTAAAATTGTTCATAAATTGACCATACAGTTCGCATGAAAGCATAAATAAAATAATGAAATTATTTTATTTATGCTTTTTTTTAAACATAAAAATTTCATGAATAATGGACGAATTTTGATCAGTTCGAAGAATTATTTCAAAATATTAGATACAGATATGAACAGTAGAAAATTAAAAGTATCAGATTGCCTTGAAATAAATCAGGGCAAGACCTTAAATAGTCAACACTTATTTATCTGTATCGATTTCCAATGATTAAAAAACGAAGAAAACGATAGATAGTTCAATGTATCTGTTAAAAAAATAAATATATTTTCACTGTTTAAATAATGTTAGTTTCTCCGATTGTCCTGTTCAGTTTTTAAACATTGTATATAATAAAACACTTGGTATATTAAACAATATTTCACAAAGGGATCAAAATTTAATCGACTCCCTACATTCTTTAACAATAGTACAGTGTCAGTATAGCCCTTTATTTATATATTTGAATTAGTATAAATATAAAAGTATAACTGGGAATTATTAAAATTAGAAAGATTGTCCTTTATAATAACTTTGTGAATTACCATCAAGTATCATATCAATGCAGAATTCAAACAATACTTTCGGTAAATGTTTGCATACTTTATGGTGGGACGGACAAAAATTGACGTCGATGAATCAATTAAGTAATACCTTATCCTGGTGAAACAAACAATTATTAACTTTAATTGAATGTATTGTTCTCGAGAGAAGATTTCCATTGTAGAATTTGAAAATGCAGTTTTCAATAACGCGTTTTCAAAGTTGAATTTCAATAAAATTATAGAGTACGCCGCTGTTAAGGTAATATGTTGAAAAATCCAAATCGTAGCACTGCTTTAGGCACTCTTCAGATATTTTATGAAATAATTGATCGATCTTTGAGTTATCAAGTTATCAACTGTATCGGAATAATACTTTTGATAATAATTATTCAGATAATCTGTTTTTACTCAAAAAATTTCGATGGACCGTTTTTTTAATCTCGCGGATAGTACGCCACTGGTGGCAATCCATCAAATTCAGATATCGGTATGCGAGGATCGCAGTACCAAATTGACTGTTATACAAGTTACCTGAATTGATTACATGACCGAAAACATTATAATTAAATAACGCTGAACAACACATTACGATGTGACGATGTCATCGCGGCTGACGTTCGTAATAACGAAAGCTGTAGTTCGATCAGATTCGAATTTTGAATATTTCGACTTTTTCTCATTTTTGCTATTTCTAAAGTTCCATCGTTCACTGCCCACATATTGACAGCTATCTATGCGCGCCATCTGTGATCGGTACTCTGGTTACCTATCGGGCGCAGCCATCTGCTCTGAATTAGGTTAAATAGAATACGAGGTCTATCTGATGATACCTCGCTTTGATGAATAAAAAAATAGACAGTTAGTAGTGCTGCCGATAGAAGTGAAAACTTGAAGCTTTTAGTATTGAAATATGAAATTGCCTAACGTATAAATTGAATTAAGATTATCAACATCAATCTGGTTTGTACATCTATTGACAATTCGTGCAACAATTATATGCATGTTGATATGGTTTTTTATTATGAAAATACATTATGGACTGTACAAGATCATAACAAAATATAAATACAATTCATTCGAGTTAAAAATTGATATAGGATCATATTATTAAGGTATAGTATTTGTATTTACATAAATTTAAATGGGCACTTTTTTCATTGTTTGCATCATTGTCCTCATAAATAATTATACTTAGACATTTTATACTTTCAATACTTTATTCGTTCTAAGAAATTTACAAAAGGATTACGTTATCTAAACTGAGAAATTAAAATGTATTAAGGGAATTTTTTTAATTACACGACACCAGCTGTATACATCACCATCTGATGTAAGCATGTCGGTGACTCAAACCAAAGATTTTCATCTAGCTAAAAGTACCAACGCGGCTAAAGAAATGTTTGTTCGTTATTTTTTTCAAATTCTTCTTCTCAGTCGTTCTCTCTTGACAGAGTGGTGATAGTCGTGTCTGGGTCTGTGCCACTGCGTCCCACGCAATACGGCGCCACACTGCTCTATGCTTAGCGGCTCTAGAGTTTTCATTGATGCTCACAGATTTTATCAGATCTGTCCACTTTGTTGGAAAGTGCCAAATAAAAAAAATGTTCAAATACCTATTGTTATTATGAATGAATGAGTTGGTTTTTTTTTTCAAATTATTAGTGTCCAATCAATTTTTCATTGTTGTAAAATAATTTTTTCTATTTGTTTCGGAGGACTGCTTTACAATCTGCCGAAGCTCCAACTCAGTTTATACGAAATAGTCCATAATTGACTTCTATATTTTTCTCCGACAAATTACCAGAAATCTTTAAACCTATGAACTTAAGATCATTCAGAAGGGTGTTTAGGCGACATCTAATTGAAATTGAACCAGATTCAATTGACAAATATCTTGAAACCAACTTTTAAATGATGAATATTATAATTATTTCTATG